AATTTTGAGTAGTTCGGGGGGAACTGGCAAATACCACCTCTGGCTCGCCCCAGAGTTGGGTGGGTATAGAGGTTTTGCAATATCCTTTCCCCAGGAGTGGGGAGGGAATGGAGATTTTCCGCTGCCATGCCTACCAAGCCATGCCCAAAGAACCAGTAGTAAAAAATAAATAAATTTCACCACTGAGATGTACAGATCCAGATAAGAAAGTGTGTTTTTCATCTGGTGTGGACATATTCATTGCACACGGGATCTGAAGCTCTTTTCTAACTTTGAATCTAAATATCTGCAGAACCCAACAGTACTGTAAATATAGCAGGTTTATTTTGCTCTGTCTTAATTTCTTCAGTATCTGCCTGTCAGAAATGTCGCTGGAAACAAGTTTGGTAATTTCAAAACTGCATGATGTTTATTTTTCAGATTAATGTTATAAACTGAGAAATTGGGATTTCGTGATTCCCCAGTGCATGGTTACACTGGCTGGGGGCAAAAGGAAGGTCAAAGCAACTAGAAAAGCTGAAAAGAAATGAAAAACACAAGGATCTGTTGTACTTCCTATAGCTAGACTGATTTATATTGCTACCTAGCAGGTTTTCTATTTCCTGCTGTGAGATAAATGGAGAGGAAATAGTCAGAGACAATTTCCTCATGTGCTCTTTTAATTTTAGCTTTTCAATGGACATCTCTGATGGCTTTCTTGATAGCTATTTAATCTGTTAGTCCTTCTCAAAGCTCAATCACAATGCCTTGCGTGAAGCATCATTATAAAAAAGTAGAAAACATTAAAGTAGAAAACAATGCCAAATTTAAATATAGACGCAAGAGTACATTAACAATGGTACAAGAAAAAACATTCATTGTTACGCAGAAAATATCCTGAAAGAATGTAAATAATTCATAGAAAACTAGTAAATGATAAAATCTATCATCTGGGAAAAGCCTACATCAAGAATCCCAATGCTTCCAACGTTCCAAGAACTATTTTTTCTTCATGTTTCAAAGCATCTTAATTGCATTGTGACAAGAGATAGTAGTAGAGAAAAAAGAAACAAGTTTATCAGCTCTAAAGACAGAGTAGGAATCTTCGGCTTCTTACTTGAACTAGTTCTATTTTGAGTATTCATAAGAATTTTTGCCTGAACTCATTCATTACATCTTCTGTCCCACTTTCTTTCCTTGCTGTGTCTTGCTAACAAGATAAGCCTAAATGCAGGATTCTTCTGTTAGTTCAATTTTGTTCATTTTCTGGAACCTAAAAAATCCATGTTTAAGTGCTGTGGTAGAAATTAGAGGTAAATTGTCTATATCCAAATATACTTATATGCCATCTGAGATGTCATTCACAATCTAAGAATAACCTGGCAGGTACTAGATACTGTAGATGTTATTCAGTTAAAAAGAATCAGTGGGGCATACCACAAGGGGGCACAACTGAACAGCTTTTCTACTCCAAGTGAGATAATACCATTCTTGTGTAACTAACTAGTAGTGTGTATCTGAAAAGCAATGCTTGATGTGGGAAAATTTATTTTGAAATAGCCATCAACATTTTTACTCACAATATTCTAGGTCACTTCTTTAATCTTAATTTTATTTTGATTATATTTTCTAACATTCCCGTGCAATATAAAAACTAAAACTATAATACTGTTATAATGTCAATTAAAAAACAATTCATATTAGAAGTATTCTCTGTTTCAATTTCAACTATACCATTTGCTGAACTTTCCAAAAAGTGTATTTTAACTCTCGATTGTTCCCAAATCAATTAAATATCAGAAGATGTTTATGAGCCAATTTCTTTTATTACCTCCTAGTGTTACATTGCCATGAAGAAATCTTCCTTGATAAATAAGTCTCAGAATATTTGGACTGCTCACTTGTTCTTCTTCCCAATCTGGAAAAGCAGTAAGAAAAATAATACAATTCAATTATCTAATTTTGAAACTATATATTATTTCTTATAAACTTCCAGCAAGGCTAATCACACACCAGTTTATAAATATTCTTCTGAATATATTTCTTTTCTTGTCATAAGGATAGATTTATAATTTCAGCCTTAAAGAGACAAGTCAAAGGGAACTGAACTAGAAAATAACTCCAGAAATTCCTTCTAGAAACACTCAAGATAAATATAGTAACCGTTTATTTTGAAGTTATTTTGTAATTGATATTAACAGCTCAGTGCAAATGAGAATATAGAAAAAGTAGGTCATTTAGGGAGTAAGAATCAGAATAGTAACTGTTTAGAAATACCTACTTAGTAAAAGATCTGTTTCAACTATGTGGGTTAAGTATCAGTCTATTTACATGTATACATCACAATGGGATGATTCTAAAAGAACATGCTTCATTTGACTGTGATGAAACATTGAGATAATTCACCAAGGACATTAGGGTGAGAAAAGATTTCAGTTAAGGACCAAATTAATTTGTTATTTAATTTGTTAATTAAATAATTAATAATTTATCATTATTTGGCTGTCAAGAGTAGAAATGGGAACGGACTGGAAAGAAAATAAAAGAAACTAATAAAACTAGAATAAAAGTATAATGACTGTAGATAAAGTACAAGTCCTGTACATACAAAAATAATTAGAAAAGAGATTCATCTCCCATATAAAGAGGCAGGGCACAACCCGGTGGCTCAGCGGTTAAGATAGCAATAGCACTTAGATATATATACCGCTTCACAGTGCTTTACAACCCTAAGTGGTTTACAGAGTCAGCATATTGCTCCCAACAATCTGGGTCCTCATTTTACTGACCTCAGAAGGATGGAAGGCTGAGTCAACTTTCAGCCTGATGAGATTCAAACTGCCAAATTGCAGGCAACCGGCAGGTAGCAGAAGTAGCCTGCAGTACTGCATTGCTGGGCTTGTCGGCTGGAAAGCCAACAGCCCAGGTTTGAAACCTGAGCACCATGCAATGGGTGAGTTCCTGTCCTCACCACAGCTCCTGCCAACCTAAAAGTTAGAAAGCATGCGTGGGCACGTGCGCACAAACACACACACAAACGCACGCACACACAATGGTGGGATTCAGCTGGTTCATACCAGTTCAGTCGAGCCGGTAGCTAATTTTGGGGGCAGTTTGTCAAACTGGCTGAATCACCTAGCCCCTCGCCCCTCCCCTCCCAGGCACTCCTTGTCTGGCCTCCTGGATGCTCACTTGGCCTGAGAAGATAAGACCAATGCTGGGGGAGGGAGACCCCCTTGGGGGAGGACACAGTGAGGCCTGGCTGTCTTTCAGGTCTAGCTCTTGGCTTCTGTGGGACCTCCAGGCGGGAAGCCCAAGAGAAAGCACCTAGTCTGAGCACATAGCCCTGGCAGCAGTGCTCGTGACAGGTGGGTGGGCAAATGTCCCGTGCTGCATGTGCGCACCTCGCCGCAGAGCAGTGGCTTCCACCCCAGCACAGCACTCTTTTCTGAGGACTGCCAGCCCACCTGCCAGCTGGCTGGCCAAGAAATGGTGCCCCACCATTACGGGCTGGATGTGGGACCCAAGGTGGAGGGGAGGGCGAATGGGTGGCAGTCACTAAGAGGCCTCGCAGAAGCCAAGCATGCCATGTCTGAAAGGTGAGTGAGCCTCACCATGTTTCTTCCCCACCCCCAGGTCACCCTTCGCCTGAGTGCAGTGGACCCAGAGCGGATCTCCCTTACCCGCCGTAAGCCTTACCTTTATGTAATCCGCAGTGAGCAGAGTGGTATGAGCCCCGTGGGCTGAAGGTAAGGCCAATGGTAGGGGAGGGAGATCCGTTCCAGGCCCACCGCGCTTGGCCAAAGGGCCGCCTTGGGGGGGGGGGGGGAGCCCTGCGCGGCCCCCCGCGCTTGGGCAAAGGGCCCCCTGGGGGGGGGGGGGGGACACGGCAAGTCTTGCTTGCCTTTCGAGCCTGGCTAAAAGGGCAATCATTTTGGGATTAAATTCCAAATGAAATTGGGTCTTCAGGGTAAGGAGACATGAAGTACTTTCAACTGCAAATTTCTAAAAATCTATTAAAATGAATGTCTAGATGCAACTCTTTGACTCATTAGTCCAGAGTGAGCAAAAGAGATAGGGTCCCAATGAAGGTCTTAGCATATTTAGCTCAGGAATAAGAGAGTTGAAAGAGACTTTGGATATCTTCTAGTCCAACCTCCTGCTCAGGCAGGAAAACTGAGGGTGCCAAAATCTGAGTAGGGTCTGGAAAAGGTGTCGGAATAACAGAATAATATTTAGAAGGGACCTTGGGAGGGGGACCCCATAGCATTTCAGAGAAATTG